AAAGGGGGCTGGGGGGGCGGGACCGAGGGTCTGCGGGACGGAACGAAAGTCGGGGTCGGGGGCGAGGGAGGCGGGGGCGTACGAGGGTCTCGAAATCCGAGGCTGTGTGCACACCGGCGGCTGGAGGAAGCCCTTCCGGCTGCTGAGCCGGCAGAGGACATGCAGGCGGAGCTGCCGCCCACGCTGCACGCCGACCCTCCCCGCTCCTCCCCCTCTCTGCTCCCGGAATACTTATTAGCCAGTATTATGGAAGAATCTGGAAGACTTCTCCCTGGGGCACCTGACCAGCCCAAGGGGGAAGACCTAGAGGTACAACCGGGGTTCCTCAACCAACAGCTCCCGCCCCTAGAGCACCTTGGAGTCAACCTCGGATTTGACAAGCCCAGGTGGTGCAATGGTTAAGCACTTGGCTGCTAACCGAAAGGTTGGCGATTGGATCCCACCAGCGAGGGAGAAAAGACGTGGTGATCTTTTCTAGGAACCCCTATGGGGCAGTTCTACTCGGTTCTATAGGGTCGCTGTGAGTCGGAATCGACTGGATGGCAACTTTTTTTATCTTCAGTTAAGAGAGGGTATTGCACCCATGAAGCAAGGATAGATTGTTGTTTTTCTCTAAAAAGAGACATTCGTAGAAGAAAGCACACTTAGGAATTAAGCACTATTAAGCAGAAAATTAAAAACTCAGTGGAAAATTTGGAAGTTAAAGCTGAAAGAAATCTCTCAGAAAGCAGAGCAAAAAGATAAAGAAATGGAAAATAGGAAGACAACTCAAGGGCCAGTCTAGAGTGTCTAACATCCTAAAGTAGGGATTCCAGAAAGAGGCAACACCACACCAGGGAGAAACCATTGGTAGAAATAACCGATCATTTTCCAGGCTGGAAAGACAGGAGGTATCATGAGGGCCTGTTGAGTGCCCAACACAGTGAGTGAAAATAGTACAGTACCACAGTAAGGCACATTGCTGTGAAATTTAAAGAGAAGATCCTAAAAGCTCCCAGGGAGGAAACACAGGGCCACATATAAAGAAAGGGCTGGAGAACAGAATGGTTTTGAATTTCTAAACAGCTCTACCGGAAGAGAGGAGCTCTAGGAGCACCGCGTGGGAAATTCTGGGGGAAAACGTTTCTAATCTAGAAACATTCGATTCCTAGGCAAATTACAAATCAAGTGTGAAGCAAAATAAAGACATTTTTATTTTTAGGATTGCAGTATCTTAAAATAATGACCTCCCACACACCTCTTAAATAGGAGTGTGTATTCCACCAAAACATGAGAGTCAATCCAGAAAAAGGAGCACGTGGTTTGGGGAAAGGAGCTCCAGCACAGAAGACGAGTCTCAGTGGTGGAGAGGGAAAAGCTTGGGGCCTCTCCAGACCAGAGGAACGTCAGGGGTCTGTGGCCATGGACTGCAGGGCCCCCAGCCCCTGCCCCTCTCCTCCAGAGATGGCCAGAGAGAAAATCCAGGAGCCACGGCCTTGACTGGTGAGGGCCAGAGGGTACAGTGTCCTGCCGAGACTGCTCCTAATGTGGTGGCACAGGGACCTTGACGACCTTTTTAATAGATGACTGGTCAGAGCCTCCTGACCCAAGGGCCGAAGAGTGGATAGAGGACTTCTCCAGACGCCATCATGCTGGGACACACTGTGAACGTCAGCAGGGTGACCGGAGGGTGCAGGCTAGAGGGTGCTCCCACTGGGGGAGATGCAGGTGTGGCTGGTGGAGTTAGGGCGTGGGAGATGGTTCTCCATTTACCTTGTTGTCTTGAACTCTGTACTCTGTGTATTACGCTCTACGTATATGATCCACAGTCAATACTCATGGAAGCAGCAGTGAGGAAATCAAATGACATATTGCATTGGGCAAATCTGCTGCAAAAGACCTCTTTAAAATCTTAAAAAGCAAAGATGTCAGTTTGAGGACTAAGATGCGCCAGACCCAAGCCATGATGTTTTCAATGGCCTCATATGCATGCGAAAGCTGGACTATGAATAAGGAAGAATAAAGAACTGATGACTTGGAATTACAGTGTTGGCAAAGAATATTGAATATACCATGGACTGCCAGAAGAAGGAATAAATCTGTCTTGGAAGAAGTGCAGCCAGAATGCTCCTTAGAAGCAAGGATGGTGAGAAATGTCCCATGTACTTTGCACATGTTATCAGGAGGGACCAGTCCCTGGAGAAGGACATCATGCTTGGTAAAGTAGAGGCTCAGTGAAAAAGAGGAAGACCCTCAACAAGATGATTGACACAGTGACTGCAACAATGGGCTCAAACATAGCACGATTATGAGCATGGCGCAGGACCAGGCAGCGTTTAGTTCTGTTGTACATAGGGTAGCTATGAGTTGGAGCCGACCAGAGGGCACCTAACAACATATGTAGACATGTGACTACACACGTGCACACATACCTACCGTACATACATACACACAGCTGCGTGCTGCATGGGCTGTATCTCACAAACCCCCTTTGGACGCGTTAAGCCCTCCTTGGTCCTACCCCTGAAATGCCAGCACCCACTAGACTTCGAAGCGTGAGTGGGCCTCTCATGGAAGTTTGAGCACTCTCTCGTACCCTGATCCTCCGGCGGAAAAGGTCCGAACGTGAAGGCTCACATTATCTGAGCCAGCCTGTGGGGCAGGAGGGTGACGCCTGCGCCGCCGCCTTACAGCCGCGTCTCAAGTTTCCTGTGGACAAGACACTGCCGCCGGCCCGACTCCCCCCGGCGTGGGGGACCCTCGCCCACCCCGTGCGGCAGCAGTGGCTGTGGGGCCTGCACCGAGCCCGCCGTCCTGCTCAGGATGACGGTGCGGACCCCACGGACCCGGTCCAGGCTCGCCCTAGTCCTTCCGGGCGGGCCGCCCCGCACCCTCCCAACTGGCCGTCTTTCGGCTGCGGCGGGAGCCGGCGGGGAAGGGCCGGTGTCTGGGGCCTCCGCCACCATCCTGGGCGTAACTGGGATTCCACGGGGCACGCTTGGAGCCCAGCGAGGCTGTCTCGGGGTCTCGTGCCGCATTACCCACTCCCACCTCCGGCCCCCTCCCCAGGCGTCCAGCCAACCCATTCGCCCCGCCCCCGCCGCCTCGCGCTCCTGCGTCCCCGCCCCGAGCCCCAGGGCCCGCCTTCGGTCCCGGGCCCGCGCGCGCTCGGCGGGCACTAGAACTCGGGGGGTGACCCGCGGGGACTCACGCGGACCGCACGGGACGGCGCAATGGAGTCGAGTAGCCGCTACGCAGAGTCGCCGGGCCGGGGCCCGCGGGTGCTGGTGGTAGGCGGCGGCATCGCGGGGCTGGGCGCCGCGCAGAGGCTCTGCCATCACCGGGCCTTCCCGCACCTGCGGGTCCTGGAGGCCACCGCCCGCGCCGGGGGCCGCATCCGCTCGGAGCGCAAATTCGGTAACGGCCCTTTACTGGAGCCCCTTCCCGGGACCTCTCCCCGGAGCCCCTTTCCGGAACCCCATCCCGGAGCCCCTACCCAGAACGCACCCGGCGCCGCTCGAGCTTGGCCGGCCTGCGGGCTCGGCCTGCGCCTTAGTGTGAACTGGCCTTGGAGCTGACCTGGGCCCCAGTGTAAACCCTAGTCCCGCGCCCACTTAATCAGGGGGAGTTTACGGGGCCCCGAAACTCAGCAGCACTCCCTCCAAAGTTAGCCAGGCCTATGGGGAAGGGAACCTCCCGCTCTGCACAGAATAAGCCCTGTTCTGCCCCCCACCCCGCGCAATCCCCCGGGCCCCTCTCAGGCAGCCCCTCTGCCCCCAGGCGTCCCTGCAAGTAACCTCCCAGGCAGGTGCAGGCCAGCCCCCCTCCAGGGGTCCCCCTTAAACCGAGTCTGACGGCCTGCCCCAGACTGTGTGGGACTCGCTGGACTGGAGCATAGGATAGAGCAGGGTGGGTGTGGTCTGGAGAGGGCTCAGGGGCACCTTCCTGGGGAGAGGACCTCATGCGGTGCCCTTGTCCCCTCCTAGGTGGCGTAGTGGAAATCGGTGCCCATTGGATCCATGGACCCTCCCAAGGCAACCCTGTTTTCCAGCTGGCCGCGGAATACGGGCTGCTGGGGGAGAAGGAGATGTCCGAGGAAAACCAGCTGGTGGAGTTGGGGGTCCACTTGGGCCTGCCCTCTGTGTCATATGCCAGCTCTGGACAGAGCGTGAGCCTCGAGCTGGTGGCAGATACGGCCAATCTGTTCTATACTCTGCTGGACCAGACCCGCGAGTTCCTGCATGTGGCCGAGACCCCGGTCCCCAGCGTTGGGGAGTACCTAAAGCAGGAGATCAGCCGGCACATGGCCAACTGGACAGAGGACAAAGAGACCAAGAAGCTTAAGCTAGCTGTCCTCAACACCCACTTCAACCTGGAGTGCTGTGTGAGCGGCACCCACAGCCTGGACCTGCTTGCCCTCGGGCCTTTTGGGGAGTACACCATGCTGCCAGGGCTGGACTGTACCTTCCGGGAGTATGTGCATGCCCCCCCCCCGTTGCCTGCCCCCCAGGTCCCCCTTGCCCTAGCTGTCTCCGTGTAGCCAGGGCTACCTCCCCTGCTGGTCTGACCCGCTGGCCTTGGGAGGCAGAGTTGGGCAGGAAGGCTGTTTGCCCCCTCTGTTTCCCTGGTTTTCCTCATTTGGGAAACAGAAAAAGTTATTTTGAAGAGAAAGGGATTAAAAGAAGGAAGGATGTAACTCTTTCTTCCTTCCACATTTACTGAGACCTCTCATGCGCCGAGTGCTGTGGGAGGGGCTTCGCCTACAGAAATGGCCAGACACGCCCCCTCCCCTGAGACAGGTGGCTGCCCCCAGGCGTGTGAGAGACTTTCCCCAGTGGACTCTCCGCTGGGCTGTCCCATATCGTATGTCCCTTGGTGTGTCGAACTGGACCCTCCGTCATCCCGAGGCTCCCAAGCAGGGGGCTGGGTGTTTGCGGCTTGCGAACCTTGTTCTTTCAGGATCTTTGCCTTCGTGAGCTCCTTTAATCCTCCCATTAGCCTGAGAGGCAGGTATTAACATTCCTGCAGTGTGCACAGAAAACCACAGCTTAGGCCAGCAGCAGGAGTGGGGTGTGTGAGGCCGACTCCAGGTCCGCTCTCCTGTATCTCTGCACCCCCATCCCGGCAGAGTCATACGCTGTGTGGGTCAGGAGGAAACTCAGTGGCTTCCTCTGAGAAGGTAGTTCTCGCCTTTGAGACTGTTTAAGAGTCTAGGGTTTATTTCAGGCAGACCCACCCCCGTCCAGAGACGAGCTCTCTCAGCACTAATGGCACTCATGTCCCCTAGGGGCTACGAAGGACTCACGAGCTGCATAGTGGCCTCCTTGCCGAAGGACATCCTGGTTTTCAACAAGCCTGTGAAGACGATTCACTGGGGTGGATCCTTCCAGGAGGAGACGCTTCCTGGGGAGACCTTTCCTGTGTCGGTGGAGTGTGAGGATGGGGATCGCTTCCCAGCCCACCACGTCATCCTCACTGTGCCCTTAGGTAAGGCCGAGCCTCGTCCTCATGTGTGCAGTCCACATTCACACCCCAGGTGCTGCTGGCCCCAGCCTTGTCCTGTGTCAGGGTTGTCTCGGGGGTATTTGCTTTGCTAGTGAGCTCACACTTTCACCTGAAGAATTTCCTGATAGACCTGTAACCCATTGCTGTTGAGTTGATCCCGACTCACGGGGAACCCATGTGTGTCAGAGTAGAACTGTACTCCATAGGGTTTTCAGTGGCTGATTTTTCAGAAATAGGTCACCAGGCCTTTCTTCTGAGGTACCTCTGGGTGGACTCAAACCTCCAACCTTTTGGTTAGTAGCTAAGCACATTAACCATTTGCACCACCCAGGGAGAACTTCCAGGTAGACAGAAGTAGTATAGTATAGGGACTGTGTGCTTTAGGTATGAGAGAGGATGCAAGCACTGTCCGCTTTGCCCATTTGGTGGTAAGTGGAAAGGGTCAGGCTGCCTTCCGAGGGTAGCCAGCTTTGCTCTCTTGGTGACGGGATAAGATTGTTAAAAGTCAGGTGTCAAGGTTAGCTCTGGTGTTAATCTGCGGATGGAGTTCCAGATACAGTCCTATTTAATTCCAGGTGTGCTGCGTTAGATGGAAGTCTTGAAGTTGTTTTAAACTTTGGTAAAACATGGAATTGATAGACTAGCAGCTGCTGCCTGCTGACCACTGGCTCCGTTGGGGGGTCACGTTGGTGTGACCCCTGCCTTAGCTGATCTTCTCCCCGCACTGTCCCCCCTTGACAAATGCAGACATTTCAGCGAAGCAGTTAAGAGAATTAATTGCCCAGGTTTACCAAACTAGCAAGTGCCAGAGCCGACATTGGAATCTCGGTTTGGCCGAAGGGTGAAGAATGAAGAGTTGCCACCTGCGGGGTGATCTGTGTTCCGGTCGGATGGGTTATGCGTTACAGACAGGCTCAGTGTGCTGCTCTTCTCACAGACGGAGTCACACTGGGCGTCTCATCCTGATCCTGGTTTGCTTTGCTTCTTTGCTTAGTACGTTTTTTGTCATTGTTTCCAGGTTAGCACATAGAGGTCTGTCATAGTCTTTTTTTTTTTTTTAATTTTTAACGTCAGTGGTTTTGTTGATTTATTCATTCGCTCGCTCATTTTTGCAATATGTGGTTATTGAGCCTCTGCCAAATGCTAATATTAGGGATATAATCAGTACATACATTGTTTCGGCTGTGTTGAAATTGTTGGAGCCAAGTCATATACCACATTTGTCTTCTTACAGCCTCATAGTGTCCTCTTGTATGTTTATGTTGTTATTTAATAACTGTTGATGGAAATTTACGCCCTTTTCATTTTTCTATTTCACACAACGCTTTTTGTGTACATTTAAAAACACTTGTGTGAATATACCTGTAGGATCAATTCCTGTAGTGAAAAGTGCTATGTCAAAGCCTGGACAAATGGGACTGCTTTCGAAGGAGGGTGTCCGAGTACCCACTCCCCACATCCTCACAGCCTCTCGATGGTCTCTGCTTCATTTTCTGTCAGGATGTTCATTCTTTTCTTACTGACTTGCGAGAGCTATTTCTACCTTATGGAAGTTGGCTTATTATCACACGGGCTACAAATATTTCATCCTGATTTGTTGTTTGCTAAATTTATTTATTTTTGCTGTGTAGATTAATTTTTATGTAGCCTCTAGGTAAAACCTGTATATGTAACTGGTATTCCAGACTGACTCTTGCCTGGGGAGGCTTACAGAGGCTGAGAGACAGAAGGCTCCAGATTGAGAAAACTGGCCCTACAGACCAGTTTGGGTTGGGTGGTGTTCACTGTCCCCGCCTGACCAGTGGTGGCCACAGTGCCTGTGGTGTCCCTTCACCACAGTGCTGGTCATCAGGCCATCCTCATTTCTGCCTGGTGTGGGTCATGGGGTCGGTTGAATGAGTGGGTGGTCTTTGAAGGAGGGTGTGGCTTTGGTGTCTCGCGTCCCTGACAGCCACTTTCTCTGACTCCTTGGACTGGACATGGGGGTAGAGTTCATGTTGATGATTGAATCCAGCTTAAGAGATTCGTGTGTGTGAGTCAAGTCCAATTGTGAATTCCAGGTTTTCTTAAAGAACATCTGGACACCTTCTTTCAGCCGCCGCTACCCCCTGAGAAGGCAGAAGCAATCAGGAAAATGGGCTTTGGGACCAACAATAAAGTCTTCCTGGAGTTTGAGGAGCCCTTCTGGGAGCCAGACTGCAAGTACATGCAGGTGGTGTGGGAGGGCTCGTCACCACTTGAGGAAGCTGTGCCTGAACCACAAGACACCTGGGTCAGGAAGCTTTGTGGCTTTTTGGTCCTGCCCTCCTTTGGGTACGTACGCTTCCTAAGTTTTTTTGTGGGCATGGCAGGTGTGACCCTAAGTGTGGGCAGAGGCATTACGCCTTTACTAGAGGGCCCAAAAGTGTGGTGATTCATCGCAGTGTGTTTCTGGAGGGTTCCATGTGTGGGGAGCCCAGGATCACCCCAAGGCCCTGGTAACAGGCACCCGGGCTCGAACCCCCTGATGAGACACATGGAAGATTTCCACATGCAGCTGGTTGGGGTCTCAGGACCTAGAATGTGCTCGTAGATGGGAAGGTATGTTCGGTCAATAAGAACGTATTTATTGAGACTGTCGGAAGCTGGGCGTTGTAGGTTAAGAAGATATCTGAAACATGGGTCTGTTCATAACTGGGGGCAGTACTTAAACACGATGTGATAATTGAACAAAACATCTGTGATTGTCAAGGTTGTGTGTCAGCTTGGCTGGACCATGATTCTCAGTGGTTTGGCAGTTGTGATGTAGTTTGGCAGTCTTATGATGTTGCGATCACTTCCATGATGAGATGTGATATAATGTGATCACCTCCACGATAAGATCTGCTGTCAGTAGCCAGTCAGTTGAAAGGGAGTTTCCTTGGGCATGTGGCTTGCATCGAATATAAGTGGACATTCTGGCAAGGTTCGTGGGCTTTTGCTCACTCTGGATCCTGCAGCTGGCTCCTGTTCATCTGACCTCCGGCTCTTGGGACTTCTGCTAGCAACTTACTTGCCGTCTTGCCTGCCAATCTTGGGATACGTTGATCTTCGCAGCCTGTGAGCAACAGCCCTGCTCTCTGACCTACCGATCTTGGGTTCACCAGCCCCTGCAGCTATGTGAATTAGGAGAAGCCTCTATCCTGACCCACAGGCTTGGGATGTTCCAGTATCTTCAACCGCCTGAGCCATTTCCTTGATATAAATCTCTCTCTATTTATATGCTTTATGGGTGTCATGGATTGAATTGCGTCCCCCAAAAATATGTGTCAGCTTGGTTAGGCCGTGATTCCCAGTATTGTGTGGTTGTCTTCCATTTTGTGATTGTAATTTTTCTATGTGTTGTAAATCCTAACCCTGGCTATGGTTAAGGAGGCAAGATTAGATTATGTTAAAGAGGATTAGGGTGGGATTGTAACACCCTTACTAAGGTCACATCCCTGATCCAGTGTAAAGGGAGTTTCCCTGGGGTGTAGCCTATACCACCTTTTATCTTATAAGAGATGAAAGGAAAGGGAGCAGAGAGTGGGGCACCTCATACCACCAAGGAAGCAGCGCCAGGAGCAGAGTGCGTCCTTTGGACCGGAGGTTCCTGAGCTGAGAAGCTTCCAGACCAAGGGAAGATTGATGACAAGGATCTTCCTCCAGAGCTGACAGAGTAAGAAAGATTTTCCCTAGAGCTGATGCCCTGAATTTGGATTTGTAGCCTATTAGACTGTGAGAAAATAAATTTCTCTTTGTTAAAGCCATCCACTTGTGGTATTTCTGTTATAGCAGCACTAGATAACTAAGACAACTCGTTTTGCTTCTCTAGAGAACCCAGCCTAAAGACAGCATCCTTCTACATGATGGAATTATAGATCCATGAGTAAAGTGCTAAATTGCACGGCCCAGTCATTCAGTACAGTAGCATATGTGGCTTTAGGTGCTGATTTAGAAAACGATGCCATGACTGATTTGGGGATGGACAGATTGATATTTCTGGCAAGACTAAAAAACAAAGTCAGCATATAGGGATTGGAAGTGGCTAGTTCAGCTGGCAACTCAAACCATCACACAAGTGCTTGTCTTCAGGGCAACCATTGCCCTTTATATGCAGTACAAGTGCTCAGTGGTATTTCTCATTTCATCATGTACTCAAGATATAATAAAATTAATAATCTTTACTGCTTCATCGAGGACATTATCTCTAGTGAATTTGGCTTTTTCTTTTTAACTGCATATGTGTGGCAGTGGAGAACACAGTACCTGTGAGCATGGCTTGGGGCCACTGCCTCGATTCTGCTAGGGGCATCAGTTTTTCCCATGCTGCTCTTGCTCTTCAGTGCAAATGTCAACACCGTGGAATCCACAAACACTGTCTTAGGGTTATGAGGATGGTTCTGGCCTCACAGACCCCTGACGGGGTGTCTTAGATATCTAGTGCTGCTATAACAGAAATACCACAAGTGGATGGCTTTAACAAACAGACGTTTATTCTCTCACAGTCCGGTAGGCTACAAGACCAAATTCAGGGTGTAGCTCCAGGGGAAGGCCTTCTCTCTCTGTCGACTCTGGAGGAAGGTCCTTGTCATCAGTCTTCCTGTGGTCTAGGAGCTTCTCAGCATAGGGGCCCCGGGTCTAAAGGACATGCTGTGCTCCTGGTGCTGCTTTCTGGGTGGTATGAGGTCCTCATGTCTTTCTGCTCCCTTCTCTCTTTCACATCTCAAAAGAGATTGGCCTAAGACACAATCTAATCTTGTAGATCTCATCAACATAATTGCTGCTATTCTATCTCATTAACATCATAGTGATAGTATTTATAACAAATAGGAAAATCACATCAGATGACAAAATGGTGGACAGTCACACAGTACTGGGAATCATGGCCTAGCCAAATTGATACACGTATTTTTGGGGGAATCCCCAGAATTTGGGGCTGCACTTGAGAACCACTGACCGACATTCTGTCTGTCTTTGTTGTCAGGGAGCCCTCGGAAAAGTTGCTGGCTCCTTCTCAGCCTTCTCTCATGGCCTTTCTCCCCACAGCTCCATTCACGTCCTCTGTGGGTTCATTGCTGGACTGGAGTCTGAGTTTATGGAGACTCTGTCTGATGAGGATGTGCTCCAGTCTCTCACTCAGGTCCTTCGGAGGATGACAGGTACTGACCCCACTGCAGAGCTACTGCCCTGTGCTTGCTGATGGCTGGTCTCCAAATGGGAACTAAACTGTTCAGAACCGAGAGGAGCTAAATGTGGCTCTCTGAATCTCCAGGGGAAGTCCTTCCTTGTAACAGTGGAGTCAGCACCAGTCCTTGTCTCCAAGGAACTGATATTACTCTGCAAACCCTTTCTGCTTCCTTTTTCCAAAATCTGCAACCAAAGTAAGTGCAGTTGTCCTCAGCCAGGTTTGCAAAGTGCTAATGTCACGGCCACACGGTCAGTCAGGTTCCCCCCTCTGCTGGCCATAGTGTGTAGGTGGTGGTTCCCATTAGCATGCACTACTTGTTCGTGTGTCTGGAGTTTAGCTAAGCAGATGTGACAGGCAGAGCCTCTTTCTAGTACCCTCTGTGGCTTGGTTTTCTTCCCTGGTTGTGTCTTTCATTTTGGAAACAGCTTAGTCTTTAGAGAAAAACAGATTGCAAGCATGCGGGTGGGAATGTGGTATTAACGGGCTTGTCTCTGTGGTTTAGGGAACCCACAGCTCCCTGCACCCAGGAGTGTGCTGCGGTCTCGTTGGCACAGTGCCCCGTACACCCGGGGCTCCTACAGCTACGTGGCTGTGGGCAGCACTGGGGATGACATTGACCTGCTGGCTCAGCCCCTCCCTGCAGATGGTGTGGACGCCCAGGTAGGAAGACACCCTGATCCTGCAAACTGGAACAGGCCCCAGGAGGGGGTGGTGAGGGAGCCACAGGGGGGCTGGGACCTGTGACTCAGGATCCAGTTTCTTTTTGAAATTAATACGTTTCAAAATATATTATCAGCATTATATGTGCACATGCTTAAAGAGCCAGAGAATTCACAGTGCTGGCTGACGAAACAAAACCAAGCCGAAATGAAAACCGAAACCCAGCAGGCCGGTGGGGGATACCCCTCCTCCCCAGAAGCACCCGCTCTTTTAGTGGATTCTTACTTCCCAGTTTACTGTATCTCTAAATAACATGTTCATACTGCCTCTTTTAAAAAACAACTTGATTGTAGAAAACTGCAAATGTGTACAGAGGTAGAGAGGACTTTGCGTCCCCTCAGCTTCCACTGTTGTCCGTTCACAGCGGCCCTATTCCGCCCGATCCACATCCTGCCTTACTGTTTTTAAGCGTATCCCATACATGATATTATTTCATCTGCAGACATTTCAGTGTGTATCTAAAAGATAAGGGCACCTTTTTTAAAACAAATGTTAACTATGATACTATCACACTTAAAAATTAACAATAATTCCTCAATATCATCTGATATTCAGTTGGTGCTCAATTTTCCAATTGTCTCATAATCTTTTCAATTTGCTTCTTTGCTAGTGTTACTTTTAGAATTTTTAGCTTTAGGCATTATTGACTGAGCTCCCAGTATGGAAGATAAGATTTTAGCTTTCTTCCTTCCTTTGCCCACCCCAGCTCCCAAGCACCCTCTTCCTCATCCTCCCAGATGTTTTGCAGACACTTGGGTACAGTCACTAGGCAGCGTTACATTGTCTCGCTTGTTCTGTAAACACTATTCACACTTGAACTGTGAGGGTGCAGAATTTTTTTCTTACCCATTTGTGTGTGTGTGGGTGGGATTGAGTGAGAGTGTGAGCAGGAGTGTGTGAGTGTGGGAGCATGTGTGATCATGAGCGTGTGTAATTGGCTTGTTTCTGTGTCCCCCTGCCCCTAGCTGTCTAAGTGCCTCTCACTTCATCTAGCTGCCTGTGTCGTGTCAGCTCCAGCTTCTTGAAGACACAGCTGGCACCTGGGTCAGCCCCGCCTGTAGCCCTCTGTGCCTTGTGCATGGCTCTCATCCTATGACCTTCTTCTGTCACCATTATCCTGGTGATTCCCTGTGCCTTGCTCCTCCTGCTCTGGACCCTGTTTCCTGTATTCCACATCAGCTTTCTTGGCTTCCTCCTTTGCCGGAGCATTTACCCCAGTGGCTTCCTGAGAAAGGGTGCATAGGAGGTAAAGTTTTAGAGACCTTGTATGTCTGAAAGCATCTTTTTTTCTACCCTTACACTTGACAGTGTTCTAGTCCTGATTGCTGCATAACAAACGACCCCAAACCTAGTGGTGGGACAGTCACTTTATTATGCTGACGGATTCTGTAGGCCAGAAATTCAGACAGTGCACAGTGGGGACAGCTTGTTTCTGCTCCATGATGTCTGGAGCTGGGAAGACTGGACCAGCAAGGGGTGACTCAGACCCTGAGGCCTGGAGCCATCTGCAACTCTTTCACTCGGTATCTGCGCTGGGGCTGAGTGTCTCAAAGGCTGGGACTGTGGCCTGGTGCGCCTACGCGTGAACTCTTGTGTGGCTTGAGCTTCCTCACAGCATGGTGGCCCTACATGGCAGCTTAGGCTCCAGCGCAGGTTCCTGTGGCATGGGAAGCTGCACTGCCTTCTGTGACCTCGCCTTGGAAGTCAGAAAGTGCCACTCTGCCTACTCGGTTGATGCAGCAGTCACCAGCCTGTCCAGATTCAAGTGGAGGGGTCATAGCCCCACCTTTCTGTGGGAGGAAACACACTACCGTCGAGTCAATTCTGACTCACAGCAACCTATAGGACAGAGTAGGACTGCCCTATAAAGTTTCCAAGGCTGTGATGTTTATGGAAGCAGACTGCCTCATCTTTCTCCCATGGAGCGACTGGTGGGTTCGAACCACCAACCGTTTGGTTAGCAGCCAAGCACTTAACCACTGTGCCACCAGGGCTCCTCTGTGGGAGGAGTGTCAATGAATTCACAGCCATTTACAAACTGCACATTGGGTGGAACATTCTAGCTTGTGAATCACATCCCTCAGAGGTTTGAAGGCGTTCTCCAGGGTGGCTGTTGGAAAGTCCAAAGCCTTTCGTTTCCTTCTTAGGTCATCTGGTTTTTTTCTTTAGTATCTTAGGAAGTTTGAAAGACAAAGTATTAAGCACCAACATTTACTGAGTGCTACCTACGAGTTTGACGCTGTTCTAACCACTGTATACATATTAACTCATTTATACATCTGTGCTTTGCCGCTGCACTCTGGAAGTTCACCATGAAAGACTTTCATCCTTTGCTGACCCCGTGGCCAACCCTTTCAGTGTAGAAACTCATGGTTGTCAACCTGGAAGTTCTCTTGAATTATCTGCTCTATCTCCTCCCCTCCAGTTTTTTTTTCTTTTCTCTCTTTCTGGGATTTTTATTATTTAGATGCAGGACTTCTTGACTGTTCCTCAAGTATGCATGTATTTTCCCTTCTATCTCTTTGGTTTTTTGCTGTACAACATCTTGCAAACCTTCTGCTGAGTTTTTCATTTTGCCACTGTGTTTAGTTTCCAAGAGCTCTTTCTTGTCTCTGAAATTCCCTCCGTGGTTGCTGTTTGTGGTAGTAGTCACACCTGGCTTTTGTTTTGTGCTCACACGGGGTGTGTGACTGAGTGAAGAACAAAACCACACTTACTGGCGTCACCTCTGCAGCCAGATGGGAAGGGCTGGTGGTCGTGTCTGCATTCTGACCCAGACCTTTTTTTGCAGCTCCAGATACTGTTTGCGGGGGAAGCCACACATCGGACGTTTTACTCGACCACGCACGGGGCGTTGCTGTCAGGGTGGAGGGAGGCTGACCGGCTTATTGGCCTGTGGCACACGGAGGCGCAGCTGTCCCAGCCTGAGCCCTGAGACCCTCCCAGTCTGCTCCTGCCATCCTTCCTCTGACAGAGGATGTTCAGCCCGGCTTGAGACGTGGGGATGTGGATGGATGGTTCTCCTCCTCCTTTGGTCTCCAGGGCTCACCTGCCCTCATGTCTCCTGTATCTCCTCGGAGTCCAGCCAGGGCTGAGCCGTAGCTGAGTGGGAAGTCTCCCAGAGACAGGCAACACGGTGCCATGCAGACAGTGCTGCTGCAGAGATAAAGGTGCTCACACCACCATGTCAGGGTTGCTGTCCTTTGTCCTCATCTTGATCCAGGCCCAGGCCCCACACTCATCCCAGCGCGCAGCCCCTCCCTCTGGCAACCGAGGGCACCTGAGAACTCCCACGCCCGCAGTCTGATGCGCAGGGTCTGGAGTCCCGGTCTGGCTCGCAGCCTCGCTGGGGGCCCAGCGCCACGCCCTCGGGACCGCCCACCCTGGACTGTTGGGCCGTAGGCCCTGGGGTTGCCCCTCATTTGACATCTCCCGTGCTTACCGAGTTCTTGTTGCCGGTGCCCATCACTGCGGCGGATGTGACGTCTTCCCCTTTGTTCCTGGGCAGGTGCTGATGGGACCGCTGTGTGGGAGGCTGGGCAGGTGCTGATGGGACCGCTGTGTGGGAGGCTG